GTAGCAGCAGCAGCAGCAGTAGCAGCAGCTCGTTGCATGTCTTATGCCGGTGGAGCCGTATCTAGCTAGCTAGCTAGCTAGCTACTCATTTATCTAAACAACTAGCTAGCTAGCTAGCTAGCTAGCTACCTAACCAGCTAGCTAAACAAACATCTATGTAAGCAACAACTAACTAAAACACAAATCCTTGTGCATTCTGTTTGCTGCTGCTGCTGCTGCTGCTGCTGCTGCTGCAGAGAGCCGGCGCTGGAGGCATACCAGACAACCCAGGGCCCTGAGGGGGCCCTGAGCAAATCCTAGCGGGGCCCCTGGGGGCCCCCCTTTTCTATGGGGCCCCTGGGGGGCCCCCCTTTCTATGGGGCCCCTGGGGGCCCCCCCCATCTTCTATGGGGCCCCTGGGGGCCCCCCCCATCTTTTATGGGGCCCCTGGGGGGCTACCCCTTTCTATGGGGCCCCTGGGCGGCCCCCCCTTTCTATGGGGCCCCCGGGGGCTCCCCCCTTCTATGGGGCCCCTTGGGCCCCCCCATCTTTTATGGGGCCCCTGGGGGCCCCCCCGTTCTATGGGGCACCTGGGGCCCCCCCCCTTCTATGGGGCCCCTGGGGGCCCCCCTTTAGGGGCCCCTGCTGGGGCCCTAGAGGGCCCTAAGGGGGCCCTATAAGGACCCGAAGGGGGCCCCCCCTGAGGCGCTGAAGGGGCCCCCAAGGAGGGTCTAAGGAGGTCCTAGGGGGCCCCCCAGGGGGCCCCAAGGGGGGCCCCTAAGGATTTTTATGGGGCCCCCAGGATGTTGATGGGGGCCCTATATGTATGTTGTATGATCTGGGGGGCCCCCCCTTGTTGTATAGGGTGTATGAGGGCCCTAGGGGGCCCCCAGGATTTGTATGGGGGCAGTGGGGGGCCCCTAGGGGCCCCCCAGGGGGCCCCCAGGAGATGTATGGGTTGTGAGTTTGTATGGATTTGCGTTGTGATGAGTTGCCGCTGTCTGCTGCTGCGGTGTATATACAGCTCAGAGCTTTTAGCTTAGAGAAGGGGGGGGGGCCCCCAATGCATATGTTTTCTTTTGGGTTTCCTCCTGGGGGCCCCCCCCTTTTGAAATATATGCATACAGCTGGGGTGTACATACAGCTGAGGTGTATATACACCGCAGAGCGGCTATTGGTTTTTCTCTGGGCTTTGCTTGCTATGACACTTCAATAACAATCCATGGCTTTCTCATGTAGCTGTTGGGGGCGGGGGGAGGGGGCAGCAGCAGCAGCTGCTGCTGCTGCTGCAGCTGCTGCAGCAGCAGGTGCTGCAGCAGCAGCAGCACGGTGCAGTGCGTGTAACTGCAACAAGTAATACTAAAGAAACTAATCAACTAAATATATAGAATATAGAAAGAGAATAAATAAATAAATAAATAAATAAATAAAATATTTATAAATAAATAAAAATAAACTAACTACAGCTGCAACCGAACTAGATGAGGGGATACGCACGCTATAGCAGAATAGAAGCAGCTAAATTATATTTTATTTTATAAAAATAAATAAATAAACATAAATAAATAATAATAATTAGTAAACAAATAAAATAATAAATAAATTTTAATTGAAGAGGTTTAGCGAGGTGCCTATACACCCCAAAACGTGAGCCGCCCCGCAGGCGAAATATATTTTGTTATTTAATATCGTTGATTATAAATAAAAAGAGAAAAACAGAAAAGAAAAAGAAAAAAAAGTAAAATAAAATAAAATAAAATAAAGAGAAAAAGAATAGAGAGAAACAGAAACGGAGAGAAAGGTAGAGAGAGAGAGAAGGAAACAAATAAAAAGACAGAAAAAGAAAAAAGAAAACAAAAAGAAGAAAAATAATAAGACGAAATAAACAAAGAAAAGGAAAAATAAAAAAAAAAAAAATAAAAATAAAGAAAAAAGAAAAAAGAAAAAAAGAAAGAAAAGGAAGTAAAAATGTAGGTTAACGTCCGCTTAATTTATTTCTATTTCGTTTTATTTTTTTATTTTATTTTATTTTATTTTATTTTATTTTATTTTTTTTTATTTTATTTATTTTATTTTATTTTGTTTTGTTGTTTTATGAATGACTCGGATTCCCTTTGCTGTGTTCTTCCTCTTTTATCTTTATCTTTTTTCTTTTTTATTTTAATTTCTTTGTTTTTTTTTTTTATTTTTTTTTTTACTTTTTCTGTTTATATCATTCATTTGTTGTATTTCTTTTTCTTTTATTTTCCTTTTGTTTTACTTCTCCTTCTATCTTTATTTTGTTTTCTTTCTTTTTCTTTAATCTTTATTTTGTTGTTTCCTTCTCCGTATATTTTTATTCTATTATTTCTCCTTTTATCTCTGCTGCTGCCGCTTCTGCTGCTGCTTCTGCTGCTGCAGCCTCTCCTGCTGCTGCTGCTGCTGCTGCTGCTGCCGCTCCTGCAGCAGCAGCAGCAGCAGCATGAACTGCCGCTTCTGCTGCAGCATCAGGTATTATAATAAAATAAATAATATTAATTAA